GTGGCAGCAATTTTTCTGTTTATCCATTGTCATGAACGGATTGATTGCTTTGGACTTTTCCTACCTGTTCTCTACCATGGTGTGGTAGAACCCATTCATAAGGGGGCCTGTGGGATGGTTGTTATGGAAGCAACAGTTTTCTCAACTGCCATTATATGCATATTATTATGATTGGTTGTTTATATTGTGTTTTTAGCTGCCTAGAGTTGCTGTTTGCAAGATGGGTGGCCATATACATTTACTTAAATACATAAATAAAAATTTGGTCCATCCCAGGTGCCAGATGAACTCAGCTGGGTTTCAGAGGGCACTTGTTGGAATTCCTGAGGATCTGCTGCACAGATTGGCTGAGGCCTTAATTACTACTTAGAATAAGGGGTTGGTGATGGTATTGCACCAGATTATCCCTGCGTGGCCTCTCTCTGTTTGCAGTTCCCATAGGGCCCCCTGTTTTTTACAGCTCCATCTTGTATATCCCACTCCTTGCTCATGATCACTTACATAGTAGTCATCTTCAGATAGGATTACTGCAGTGCATTCTACATCAGCCTGCTCTTGGTGGCCACTAAGAAGCTTCTGCTGATCCAGAAGGCAGCAGCATGGGTAGTTATGGATGTATCCTGATATGCTTATGTACATCTCTACTCTGTGAGCTGCGCTAGTGACCAGAGTGCTTCTGAATGCAATTCAACGTACTATGCTTTCCTATAAAGTCCCTCAGATGGTTGTAGCTCCTACACTTTGGAACAGCATTCTCCTGAGACTTTTTGGCCCCAACCTTGCCTGCCTTTCAAAAGGCATTAAAGGCCTTTTCTCCCCCTCAGGCATTGGGTCTGGAAATGGTATCATCCATTAGCTGAAGTTTTTTTTCCTGGCACTTATATATTTATATGTTGTTGTTTTGGATTATGTTTTTATACTTTGTTTTATTATGTTTATGTTTATGTTTATGTTTATATTTATATATTTATCATTATATAATTTATATTATATTTATCCTGACTTTCTGCTGTTTATTGGTGATGTATGCTACTGTGAGTCATGTGATCAGTAGGGCAGCTATATGAATCAGGGATCAGCAATCTGTTGTGGAGAGATATTGAATTACAACTGCCAAATATTTTACTATTGACCATGTTGAATGGGGTTACTAAGATTTTTATTTCAGCAGTAGCTGGTGGGCCAGTTACACATTGTTCTCTGTCGTTTTGGGAAAAGCAAGATTGCTGAGAAGTATATTGCTTAAAAGAAAGTGATATACAGGCACACCTCAGAGATATTGCAGGTTCGATTTCAGACCACCACAATAAAGCAAATATCACAATAAAGCAAATCACACAAATTTTTTGATTTCCTAGTGCATATGAAAGTTATGTTTACACTATATTGTAGTCTATTAAGCATGCAATAGCATTATGTCTGCTATTATATATTATTATATCTTTATATATTATTATATATTATATCTGCGATGCGCAATAAAGCAAAGTGCAATAAGACGAGATATGCATGTACACTATAATAATACCCGTCAAGCAGTGAGCTGAAAGAGACTATTGCATGCAATGTAAGATTGAGATAAGCAATCTCATCCTTTTAAGGTATTTTAATTTCAGTTCCTGTGTCACTACATATGCCCTATGCAAGGGATTGTGGAAGTTTAATTCCAACCCATCTGGAGGGCATCAGATTTCCTGTTCCTGGTCTAGAGACAGGTAGAATTCCTGAATTAAAGTGGGTAAATATGTTGCAGGAAAATACTGGGGGTTGGCTTCCACCAACTTTATAATTGTTTTATTGCCAGTATCAAATTCCTCACAAGAAGTTCTGCTCTAGAAATCCTAGCTGATCATAAACATCTTCCTTCCCAAAGGCATCAAGCATAATAATGTAAAAATGAGCAAGTAAGAAGCAATAGGGAACTCTAATAAGAGCTGTAAAAAGTTTTAACCTTTTCAGTTTGATTTGTTGTTTTGGTATGATACAAACCTGCATTTATTAAAAAGCACCAGACATATTCAATGCAAACATGAATTGGTGTAAAAACTTACTGAAATGATCAGGGAGTAGAATTTTACTAGAGAACACTGTCAAGCCCCACTCAGTTGGGCAAGATCAATGAAGCAAGAAGTATACAGATTTCAGGTAGGTATCTTTAATGCTAGTCTGGGAGCAAATACAGAATCTTGTAAACTGTAAAAGGAATTTTCCACCCTCATTTATAGTAATTTCATTACAGCAGAGTCTCTGAATGATTCAAAACCCTTCTTCACAGTTCTTGCCACCTGGTTGAGTTGCCTTTTTTTAAATAAAAAGGGCTTTATCTTACGTCAAGGGCTTTATCTTACATCTTTTGATTGTTTATATTTATTCTTCCATTTTTTCCTCAACTTCCCCACAATCTCTAATAGGTAAGATTATAGCTTGGATTTAGGAGGCAGTTGGGAAAATACTAGTACACATCTGCTCATTGCTCAGTTGTCTAGGAAATGGGAAACCAGCCCACTAGTTCAAAGAAGGGGCATTGGAAATTGAAGAATTCTCTGCCTTGAATTAAACAATCTAGTTCTTAATACAGTATTTCTGTAACCTAACCTCTTTCTTTTAATTTTTTTTTCCCAAAGAAGACTCAGGGAGAATATTGCTTCTGGTAAAGTACATACAATGACATTAAAAAAAAAATACAGCTAGTCCTTGACTTACAACCACAATAGGGACCAGAAAATTTGTCATTAAGCAGTGTGGTGGTTAAGCAAGGTGTCATGTGACCACACCCAATTCTGTGATATTTTTTTACAGCAGTTGTTAAGTGAATCACCGCAGCAGTTAAGTGAATCACACAGTTCACTGATTTTGCTTGTCGGAAGCTGGCTGGGAAGGTCACAAATGGCGATCACGTGACCGCAGGACACTGCAACTGTCATAAATGCATGCTGGTTGCCAAGCGCCTGAATTTTGATCATGTGACCGTGAGGACACTGCGACGATTGTAAATGCAAGGACCAGTAGTAAGTCATTTTTTCCCCCCAGTGCTGTCATAACTTTGAATCATCACTAAATAAATGGTCGTAAGTCAAGGACTACTGTATTCTAGGATTTTTAAGATGCCTTTTTAGAATTGGGGATTAGCAATTTGCAAACCATAACTCACATCAAGTTACTTACAGAAGAACAAATATTATAGTTCTTCTATGTTTTCACAATTGTAATCCATTTTCTTTCCAAAGGTGGATTGTAGACATGGAAGGGGCTTCTGGAACATTATATGAAGGGGAGAAATTTCAACTGCTATTTAAATTCAGTAGTCGGTATCCATTTGATTCTCCTCAGGTAATTTATGTATCATATGTTCACTTAAATTTTAAAATCAATTGTATGGTAATATTGAATATTTATTTCATTGAATTTTTTGCTGGGCTAACTCTTCAGAGAATAGCAAGAATAGTTAATCATATATCTGGTACCTGCAAGAGTTGAATGAAAAGCAATGTGTCCAATATTATAAGTCACCAAACGATGGCAATATTGATATGGTAGAAGCTCTGACATGTTTTTTTTAGGAAGTTTTTTCACTTCAGTTGTTAGGAAGTTGCTGTGAGAAAAGGTAGTGTTGCTATTGTTTGTAAAATGGAAACCTGCAATGAGTACTTGTTGGCATGCTTTAAGCAATGTGCCATGATTGAATTTTTGACTGCCAAATGAGTCCTTCCAACTGAAATTCACTACTAAATGTAGATTGTTATGTTGATGACTGCATTGACATGAGTACTGTATGTTCTTGGGTCAAAAATGTAAAGGTAGTGAACTGGGAAGAGTTAATTTATGTGATCAAGAATGAAGTGGATGACTTGTGACGGCAACTGATGAGTTTCATATGAGAAAGGTTGATGAACTAATTAAAGACAACGGGCAGATCACTCAAAGGGAAAGTTCTGTCAAGCTTGGTATTTCGCAGGAACTTGTGGGTCACATTATTGATGTTCTTTAATATTGGAAGCTTTGTGCAAGATGAATTCCTTGCAAGCTGACAGCAGAAATGAAAGCTTGAAGCTTTGAGTTGAAATTTGTCAGCATTTGATGACATGCTACACAAATGAAAGTGAAGACATTCTTCATAGCATCATGACAGATGATGAAACATTGTGTTCATCATTATGGCCCAGAAATGAAACATCGGTCCATGGAATAACATCACAAAGTTTCACCTGTGAAAAAAATTCAAAATCCAGGCTTTAACAGGAAAACTCATGGTCAGAGATTTTTGGGACACAGATGATGTTATTCATATAGATTTTCTTCAATCTGGAGCCTCTATAAGCACAGAGCACTACATTGCAACAAACCTTTGAAGAATTCAGAAGGACAAGAAGGAAATTTTGCTATAATGTAACAATGCTAGCCACCCACAAAGCAATAGCAAAGTTGGATCTCTCCACCTTACCCTATCTGCCATACAGACTTGGTGCCATTGACTTTCACTTTTTCCCAAAATTGAAGAAATACCTCCATGGGCTATTTGACTCAATGAAAAGGTGGAAAGGACTATCAGGACTTGGTTGAAGAGACAAAGCATGGAGTTTTTTCTTGACAGCTTTATCATCATTGGCAGAAGTGGTAGGAAATGGTGGAGATTATGTGGAGAAGTAAATTCAGACAATAAAAGAGCTTGTTACAAGGGTTATTTTCCTGTTTCATTTATTAAAACATCTCTATTTAAGCTAAAGTTATGGAGGTAAAGATATTACTTTTCATTCAACCCTCATATTGTCTGCCCATAGTATTGAGAACCTACAGCCCATTGGGTTGGAAGCAGCCTGCAAAGCCTTCCTATCTAATCTGCTAAGGAATGGGGTCACAATTCCTTCCCCCCAAAAAGCATGGGATTTTGTTGCAGATCAGTTTCCACAAACTTTGCCTGATCATTCTGGGTGTGAAAAATGGGTTTGACCTTTTACTTTGCACAAATAGTTGTAAAGTGACCAGGCTGTACAGAAAAAGACCATATCTCATCTTCATTGATCAGACTTCTGTTTGCTATGGGTAGCAAAGTTCTGAACTGCCTATTCTGAATTGCACAGTTGCATAACACAGGATCAGGATTGATTAGTCTGTGAGTAGAAAGTATTAAGATTATTTTAAAATATTTAACATAGATATAATATATAAACAATCTGTATAGGTACTCCTCGACTTATGACCATTCATTTAGCGACCATTCAAAGTTACAATGGTATTGAAAAAAGTGACTTACAACTGATCCTCACACTTATGACTGTCGCAGCACCTCCGCGGTTACATGATCAAAATTCAGGCACTTGGCAACTGGCATGTATTTATACAACAGTTGCAGCATCCTGGGGTCATGTGATTGCCATTTGTGACCTTCCCAGCTGGCTTCTGACAAGGAAAATAAATGGGAAACCATGTGATACACTTAATGACTATGTGATTCACATAATGGCCACCACAAAAGATGTAAAATTGGGTGCGGCCATGTGATGCCTCACCTAATGACCGCGCTGCTTAATGACAAATTTTCTGGTCCCTAAGTCATAAGTCGAGGACTACCTATGTAGAAAGCATCAGGTTAAAAAAGGCTAAGAAGAATATTAAAAACAAATTAGGAAAAATAATCAGTTGAGGACATTTGGCTGACAAGAATAAAATATATAAAGAAGATTTTTTTCCTGTGAGAACCTAATTAGGTAAGGGAGCAAATGAGCACTGTTCTTCTAGCTTTCCACTGAGACATTGGGTCCATGACAAAATACAATGAGACTGCTGAAAGCAACAGTAGAATATTGTATTTTAAAAAGATATTCTGGGCAAAAATAAAGCTATCAGTTTCATTTTAAAAATAAATCCCTTAAAAAATAGGAAGTTAACTGTTACTGTCATTTTAAATGGAAGAGTGTACACTGATTTAAAATTTATGACATCAGGCAACTTCCTATGGTGGAATTAAAATACCATTTATTTGTATAATTTAAAATATTTTAAATCTGTGTATTGACATTTGGCTCTGTGAGGTTGGATCCATTTTTTTCTAAACATCTAATCGTCAAGGGTATGACTTTGGAAGGGGAAAGTGGTTGTTACTTTATTACCATTACAACTATGCTTTTGATTTTTAGTATATCCCTTGTGCTGGCCTCTTTATTGGTTTTATAGTACATTAATACTGTTTATATTGTTTCAACTGTGTAGAATTACCACCTAATATACTTCCAATTATTTAGTGATATAAGAGCACAAATAAATGCACATCTGTATTGATATAAATATGCTGGATTTTAAATTAAATAATGGAAATTAGAGTAACTAGCACATTATTAAGCCCTATATCATGAACCTGGCCCATCTGGAAATATTGAGCTAGAGAAAGAAGCTTAAACCATTTTATTACTACCTCTGTAATCACAGTAATTAGGCAGTAGCAGCTGAAGTGATAGGCTTCATTAAATTCAAGACTGACATGCTGCAATATATGAAAGATAAAATGTCATTCATGCTCTTCTAGTGTCTCACTCACTTTAAAGATTATGTCCACATTTGAATCCAAATATTTTTTGAATCAAAAATGGAATATTTTACAAATAGCATTAGTATTCTTTTTGAACAATTATGTTAATAAAATATTAATTTGATTTTTACTTTATAGGTCGTGTTTACTGGTGAAAATATTCCTGTTCATCCTCACGTTTATAGCAATGGACATATCTGTTTATCTATTCTAACAGAAGACTGGTCTCCAGCTCTTTCAGTGCAATCAGTTTGTCTTAGCATTATCAGCATGCTCTCAAGCTGCAAAGAAAAGGTATGAATTTAGAGATAATGCCATTAAAAGTTTAATGGTAGTAGAATTTCCCGCTCTAAACCAATTATGTCTCTTTCTCTCTTTAATGACTTTCAGTGGATCCTAAAAATACATTTAAACAATGCACTTCAAAAAAATTTCAGAAGGGTTAATTTAACTACAATGCAAACTAGTTAGGTAACAACCAACTTCTTTTTCTTTCCAACCGCTGGGGACCAACAAAGCAAAATAGTTATCTTCAAGAGAAAGCTCATTATCTAGCCTCACTGAATTTGATGTGAAGTTCCTGCTTCATGTTGTCACATTTCTTAACTCTCATAGAGTTGTTACTTCAAGAAAGCCTGAAAAGTTCATTGGAAAGCTTTAATATGACAGACTGATAAGGGGTATTCAGTGAGATATTTGTACACTTAGTGAGCTTGATATTAATAAAATCTTGAATGTTGTGTCCAGAAGTAACAGACATTTAAAAACCCTCTAATGGTTCTCCATCTAAAATAAAACCCAGCTTTTAGCAGAGCACACTTGAACAACAATGAATTCTCATAACTCTGTATAGTGATAGATAATTTCATTTGTAAGTATTTGCATGATATATAAATTCTTTCCTGCCTAGGCTGAGTTCTTCTTGTCTGATTTTTTTAAATACACACACACATGCTGTATATAAATAAATAAATACACATTCAGACAATATAGCAATTCTTCTGACATGCTGCTCATACTTGGTATCTTTTACTGAAAAATACAATATAAATACTGGATGGTTCTTCAAACACAGAATGCAGTTGGAAGAGGATTTTCTTCCCATTCAATTCAAAGTGTGTGGCGGGGAGGAGGCAGGAGGAAGGCTTCTGATTGTTATTTCCTCTAGAAACTGCTATTTAAAGTGTAGCAGAGAAATATGTGCTTCTATCATTTAGCCTGCTTATGTATTGTTCATTTATTTATCTCTTCACCCAATTCATTTCTTGACACAATTTCAGGGTTTTTCCAGACTTGGGCTAATTACATGCTAGTTTTCTCTAGTTCATCCAAACATGGGCTAGAAAGGTATTACAGAGAGTAATTTTGCTTAAAGTTTACAGAAATTTTGCTTAAAGATTTGTGTCTGTACCTCAGGAATTGTAAAGTCACTTGAAATATTAACAACTTAGCCCCTGAGGCTGTGTAAGAGTTGAGGAACAGCTGAAAGTATTGCAAACAAGGAATAAAATCTCAGAAAAGGAGTTTATAAATGCCAGGTTTTCCTCTCACTTCCATGAACATATTTCTGAAAGTTTCTTTCCCTCCCTCCCTTTATTTCTTAGATTTATATCCCACTTTCCATTCAGCCAGTGATATGCAGTTTTGTATATCTGAAATAGGTTTATAATTTAATATAGTTTTACTTTATTGCAGAGAAGACCACCAGATAATTCATTTTATGTAAGAACATGTAACAAGAATCCAAAGAAAACAAAATGGTGGTATCACGGTAAGTATTTAGTTTTCAAACAATATTCTAAGTAATTAATAAGGTAAATTTACAAAACTTCCTGTATAATCCTTGAATGTTAAGTTTCTCTCCAGTTTCTGAGCTTTTGGTTTTGTATATTTGCATTTTTTATTTGAAAAATGCAATATTTTTGTTGAATAGGCAGTTGAGCTTTAGTACTTTGGTCAGATTTGTTTGAACAGAACAAGGCAATTCAGTGGCTCAGAATATACTGTCTATTCCTCCAGAATGTATAATTTTTAATCATTATTTTCATTTATTGAAGTGTACTGTTAGGGGCTGTTCCAGCAATAAACATCTTCATAGGTTTTGTATACATGTACAGCATAATATTTTACATTTTGTTTTTCTTTAAAGATGACACTTGTTGACACCATCATTCTATGATTCTCCTAACAGAAGATAGTCCTACTGAGAAAATGAGCACTTTGATCATTCAGTCTTTGAACTTTAACCTCCTGACTGGAAATGATAAATAGGCAATGAAGACTACTTCCTTTGACTGAATTTTTACTAGTGTGCATTCTGGGCGCATGTTGATCGCTGGTTCACACCATGCTACTGACATGCCTTTCGTAGTCATACGATGTTAATGCAAGTGTTGGAAAATGTCATTCAATTTTAACTTTTGGAAGAATTCCAGGTCTTCATGTATTGTGCAATAATATGAATTTCTTGGCGGTTTTGGTATATCCATTGCCAGCAAAAGATTGTATCAGGAAACATATATGCTTTCCACACAATAATTTAGATGCATGATAGGGCCTATGAAAGGTTTTAAGTATATTAGGATAATAAGTAACCAATCTTTTACTTTGAAAACCACCTAATTTGTTTAGATATGGATTCTGTGCACTGTGATCATTAAACTAGCAGCATAAGTTAAAACATGCTTAGCTAAGAAACTAATAAGATCATTGCATATTTACTGAATTGTCAATGTCTTGACAAGCAAGTTTTTTCAAGTTATGTCAGCAGAGAGGTACGTTCTATGGTAGAATAAATACCTTTTGTTTGTGTGTGTTATATTTCTGAAGAAAAGGTATGAATAAAATAAGGCAGAAGTGGTTTAATCAAGGAAATCTGTGTTATGAAATGGGAACAGATAGCAGTGATAAAACTGAATTTGCTGAAGTCCATGATTGGGCTTGTTAATATGTACACTAGAGCTGTTTTCCAAGTAGATTGCACACTGTTATTTCATACTAGCCTTCAGCATGAGCCCTGTTGCCTACACAATACTTCATTTATTTATGTGTCTAGACATTTTTGTTTGAGTTCACTGTTTCTTTTGTTGTGTTATATGTCATATTTGAATGTTACAAAACAATATTTTCACTGAAAAGCTATCAGAAAATATTTTCTTGTAAATTATTTCTTTACCTTATTAACATTTATCTTGTCTTTTAATTCTGTACCATAAAGGAAGAAATACATTTTGGACAGAGATGAACTGTTTTGACAAAAAGTGTGGATCTTTTTATTTAAACTTAAGACAAATATATATAAATATATATTTTTCTTATCTTACTTGTCCCATACAGCCATAGCAATTTTCCAGGTTTTCTTTAAAGATATGACAAAAACTAGATTTACCTTTTATACAGAAAAACAATTGTTAAACAATAGTGAATTGATCTTCACCAATATGTAATTTTATGATACTGCATCTAGGCTGTCTTTTTAGGAAGCAATGATGTGTCTTTTATAAACTTGCTACCTTTACACATATGCAAACTTTCTATTTCAATGCTCTTTTTAATGTTGCCTTATTGTTGCACTAAAAAAAATCAATTCTAGTAGTCAATAAATGAATGTCTGAACTGAGTAAACCTCTTACTTGATTTTTAAAGTAAGAATCCGATGAGCAAAACAAATCTCCCAGGATTGGCTGAAAATATTCTAGTATGTGTGGGTTTTTTTAACTGCTGCATTGAATCTTACAAGTTTTATAGATATGTATATACTACTGTAGCTATAATATTTAAAATCAATATAATTGCTAAGCTCAGGGGTGGGGAGAAATCAAATGGAAGAAAAAGGTGTTCTGTCCAGGCACTGAATTCTAAACTATCAGTTTGGTAGAGCAGTTTTAAATAAGGGTATGTTATTTTTTCTATTTTGAAGAAAATTATTGGCCTCATGATCAAAAATAAGATACTGTGGGAAAACTTGTATATAAATGTTCATAGTTCTCCATTGCATAATTAATGTTGCTACAATTTTGTTCAAGCCAAAAATAACGTTGACATTGAAATTTGTATTCCTCCTCAATTTTCTTCTAGCTCTTTTTCCTTTTGTAAATTAAATCGTAAAAACATGTTAAGAGATGTATACATGAAAAGTAACCACTGAATATTTAAATGGAATCTTCATATTTCCACAATCCACGAAAACTATGTATTGATACAGCTAATTTAGATAATGTCAATCTGTTCTGTAATTCACTATGAAGGAACTCCTTCATATGTCTGGAAGTTTAATTTGTCCATCTTAAAGATTAATGCAACTGTTTCCATACAATATCATCTGATTTTTAAAGGTTGGTTAAACAATCCATGCTTTAGTCTTGGATGTATTTTATTTGCCTATAGATTTCGCAGTTTGGATTAAATCAAAATTACTCAACAAAATATTACCTGGGTTTTTTTATACTATTTCTTGGGGGAGGGGGTGTTTGAATACTGTGATAAGAGTGATTTGAAGCCAGAGGTGTATGGTTTGGGTTTCCATAAACTGAATGATTCCACACCAAGGGGGGGGGGGGGGGGGGAAATCAATCTTTGTTTGGTTTTTGCCCTTTGCTCTTAAGTTCTGTGTCACCTCAAAATCTGTTTGGAAAGTTAAGGAACTCACTGCAAAAGTATGTGAAATGACATTGTAAAAAATGAAGAATTGACAAAAAGGACCATTTTCTTTTTTTTTCCTAAAAAAAAATCATATCACTGAAAAATATGTTCTCTACAACTGGTACATGATGAGTCGACCATGCTATCAGCTACAAGTTCAGGATCTACTTTCTGCTTAATCGCTGTTCAGTCTGCAGTACATATATGGAGGATGGTCTTTTGTTTTTTTTTCTGGGGGTCGCCCATCTTCATCAATGTGCACTTGGTAGCATAGAACATAGTATATTATTCATTTTATTTATATGGTATTTTGCTTAGCACATGCAAGGCAACTAACCTAGAGATCTTCTTTAATTTTATCCTGGGTATCAGCCCATAAGATGGGTTGAATTAAAGGAGAATGATTGGCCTAAAGTCACTAAGTGAGTTCCTTGGTTTTTATTAGTGTTAGCCATTCACCTCAAGATCATTTTGGAGGTTTTTTATAGTCCACTTGAGTGTTTTCTTCATTATTTTTGGTATTTTAGCAAACTTCGCTATCTTCCAGTTCTAATGTTTATGAACAAATAAACACCTGTCTTGGAACCAATCCTTAGTTAAATTATCTTTTTTCCTCCGCTTCATGGTAAAAATGTTGATCTATGTATTTCTATTTCCTGTTGTATGATATGATGTCAGTTTGTGAAAAGGACATTCTCTTATCCCCAGGAGAATTAAGTTTTCTCAGAAGATCCAAATAGCAATATATTAAAAGTTTTGAAGCATTCAAATTGCTCAGCAATGCTGTTTGGATTAAGAGAGTTTTTATTGGGTTGATAATCCTTACAGTCTCTTGTTTTCTGAAAAAAAAATGCTTGTTCAAATATTGATATCCCATTTTTTTTCCAGTGAAGATGGATGCTGTGAATTAATTCAGTTTGCCTGCAGTCTTATGATAGTCTTAATTTACTTTCCACTTCCTTATCTTTTAATCAGGCTTTCTTCTTTTTGATATATTCAGGTTATTTGCGTCAGTGTCTGTAGCAATAGCCAACTAAGATTGCATTTATTTTGCCAGAATCCTCTGTTGAAAGCAGTCTTATGATTTCTACTCGTAACAGTCCTTGACTGAACTATCTATGAGTGGTGTGCTTCTTAATGCTGCAGTAGGACATGCATCTTTTGTATAATTGTACCTCATGCTTACTGTTAAAAGATAAGGTAAGCAAATACATGAATCCATTTTCACTGTTGCTGTTGACTTGCATTGGGTTGCTGAATGTCAGTTGGGAATACTTAACAAAAACCCAGCAACTGAAGCATATGAATTATTTTAATAAAAATTTAGTTCCAAATCTACACGTTCTGAACAAAAACAAAACATCTTAAATTGATTATTGTGAAAATATGTTTTAAACCCTTTATGAATTATTAAAAACTGGAACAGGGAAGATAAATTGGTTTTCAGTTTTCATTAATATCATCCACTTGCAGTGAAGGATGCACTATTGGAAGGATACACACAGGTGTTGCTAGTAATTTATTAAAATGTGGTTAAAATATTTACGTATTAAACCATTCCTGTTTCTCAGCATTTTCCAAGTTTTGTCTAGATGCAGATCACATGGATCCAGTTTTCAGTATGTCTTTCATCTTGTTTATGGTTCATGCCAATAAAAAAGGATGGGTGCACTGACTAAAATTAAATAGACATTTTTGCATTCAACTGCTAAACTGGAAAGGAGAAGAACGAGACTATGACTCAGGAGATTACAGATTAGATTAGTGAAGTCATACTGATACATATTCTCCCTTTTTTGAAAGAGAAGGATAACTAAGAAGGGAAACAGAGGTAATACCATTTTTGTATTCTTAAATTACTTTTAGGGCTGTAGTAAGAAGGCCTGTGTTCATTGGAAATGGGTGACACATATAAAATCATCTGCCTAAAGATGCCTAAAGGCTGCATCTATCTTCACTTTATATGAACACCCTTTATATCCATTCACTGTTTTGTTTTACTTGTTTATTGGTGGACACTGTAACTTTTCCTTCAATAGTATCAGGAAAGGCAGCCAATGGAAACAAAAATAAAACAAAATATAAACATTAAACATCCTAAAACAATTGAAAGGTTGTTGAAAAGATGTAGTCAACTGCTTTTCTAAAGTTTGTTGAGATAGATGTGATGTAGTCTGAAAGTTCTCTCCTCTGCAAACAATGCTATCAAATATGAAATCCTTTTGAAATGTGTTAAACATTCTTTATAGATACATAGCTTAATTTGTTTAAATGACATGACTCTAACTTTTTTGGGGAAAAAACCTTGATATATGTTAATTTACCAAAAGTGATCAATTGTGTCTTAAATTTAGAGGTATGTTATTAGAAATCACTTGACTCACAGCTCCTGCTTGAAGAGCAAATAGCAGCCGTGGCCAGGAGGGCCTTTGCAGATTTGTTTTGTGCACCAGTTGTGCCCATTGTTGGATCAGAATATCCTTCTTATGATCATTCATGCCTTAGTCACCAGGTAGTTGGATTACTGCAACATACTTCACATGAGGCTGCTCTGGAAACTACTTCAGAAGCCACAGATGGTCCAAAATACAGCAGGGCAGACTGTTATGGGTGCACCATAGTATACTATGTCACACTGCTACTTTGTTACTTTGTTACACAGCTGCACCGGTTACTAGTGAACTTCCAGGTGAAATTCAAGGTCCTGCTGGTCATCCATAAAGCCCTTCATGGTATGTGGCTTGGATATTTGCAGGACCACCTCTATTGTTTCTATCTGTCTTAAAAACAAAAATCAGGATCAACATGCTTAGGATTCCATCAATTAAACAATGACATCTTATGGGACCCAGGAGGTATGTCTTCATTGTTGTTGCAACCTGCCCTTTGGAATAGTATCTCCCCAAAGTCCTTATGGCCCTGACCTTGCTGGCTTTTAGGAAGGCACTTAAGACCTGGCTGTTCCCTTAGATTGAAAAGGATGATGTGTGGTCCTGCTAATTTCCAGGTAGATACAGTAGTTTGGTTTTTCCTCCTCAGTATGGCCATCTTTTAATGTTTAATGTTTTATTTTTACTGCTTTGAACTGTTGCAAGCTGCCCAGAATCAGTGAGTGAGCGGTCTTAGATATTAACTAAATACTTCTGCAGAATGTATAGACTGCTTGTCCCACCATTACAACATAGTACGCCTCCGGGCTTTATACAAAAGCAATTGAAAACTCCACAGAATCACAGTTGAGAATGGAGGCAGAGAGATGTTCCATTCAATGGCAAGAAGTCATTTGTGGAGGGAAATGTAAGAGGGAGTTTAGTTGATATTTCAGCCAGTAGTGAGGGGAGATGGTGAAAGAATGCCAACAGCTCTGCTAGTTGTGGTCCAGGTGGTAGCAGAGAAGTGATATCAGGTGGGTAAGGGCTGATATGAAGTTGCTTGCCAGTTGCTTGGCCTGAAAAAGTGCTGCTTCCAGCAATAAACTCCAAATGAGGAAGAAGTCCAGCTGTGGAGAAATTGTAGCAGTCAACAATCCAGCCCTACCATCTTGCAAGCCAGAGCTATCAATAAGGAGTGATAAACAGGGTGGTGGCAAAGGAGAGAGTGACCATGTTCCTCTTCCTCTAGCTTAAACCCTTGCACCCACACTCTGGTGGTGATGTTAACTTACCAAGGCCTGTGTGTAGAGAATTCCAAGTTCCCATATAGTTACTTAGGTCCAACCTAGTGGTGGGGAATAGTGGATACCTAGTGGGACAGGATTGGGCAGGGTGGGAAGAAGTGGATGAAAGCTTCTAGTTGCCTGAGTCAAGTGGCACATATGCTATTATAGTACCCCTGGAGTAGTAAAAGCAAGAGCTACCTGAACAAGGTGAAAAGACAGGCTTGGGATAGGAAAGGCCAAAATATAGGCTGTAGCAAAGAGAAAGGAAATTGAAAGAAAATCCATGTCAGCTTTCTCTTCTAATGAATAGCTGCCTCAGTTCTTCAAGAAAGTATTGTAGGGTGAAGTAACTGGCTAGGTGCTGGGTTATCTCTGGGAAAAGGCCAGATAAATAGCTAGCAGGCATTGGCGGGAGTGAGGGGCAGAGAAGGATAATAGTAGAAAATCCATACTGAAATGCACTTGTTTGTGGTTTTGCACCAATAAAAGCAACTTCACCAGCAAAAAATACTGTGTGCTCCTTCAGGTTTATACCATTCAAACTAAAGTACTGTAATAGGGAACCCCTAGCAGCAAGATTAAAGATTGAGAAATTAGGCAACTTCTGAATGTATGTTGTCATTATTGACAGGTAAAGCATGTCATGTTGTGCAGGTTTGCTGACTTCCGCTGCCACAGCAGCTAAAGGTAGAGCAGAAGCAGAATAAAAAATGATAACGATGTCACGTTCCAGCAAGGTGCAATGCCAGTTAAAGAGAAGCGCCTTTCTCCATCCTGGGGCCGTGAATCCAGACGACGGAGACTCTTCGGCGAAGAGCCCGGCGGTGCCTGGAGCTGCCACCGGGGGGCGCGGAACATCGCCCGCGGTTCGAGAGGCGCAGGGGAAGGGGATGCGGACGCGGCCATTCGCGCTGTCAGAAGGGGGGAGCAGCGGCGGCGGTCCCGCGCAGGGACGCTTCAGCCCAGGCGGCATGGGCTAGGCC